CCTGCTGGCACATGAGGGGAGGAGAATTTTAGATCTTGGCACAGTGCTGCAGAAGTCTGTCACTTCAAATGAGCTGCATTTATTAGCTAGGGTGACAAAAGCTTTGTTAGGGAAACAACTTAAAGTGCAAAAGTCCAATTATACAAATGTTATGCACATGTATGACTACATTTGCTGTGAAACGAGTGCAGCTTTTCAGGAACAATGGTTCTTTATGCTTACATGCTGAAGTGCATCCTAAAACATCTAAGTAAGATTGGTAAAAAGTGTCCCTCTGTATTGACAAAGGCAAAGAAGTTACAATTGTAAAACCACTGAAATTGAAATCTGAAACAGTACCAGTGTGAGTGAGTTCTTTGTCTTTCCTCAGAGAAGAGTTCAGTTTTTAAAGTTTTTTGGATAAACCACACACTAACAAGAATTGGAGCAAATACTCAGATTTTGTATAGTTACTAACTTCAAAACTCATTTCAAGGGGCACTGAAGCTCATCCATCCTAAAACATCAGAGCTCTGCAGCAGCTTAGAAGGTAGATAGAATTGTTTCTAGTGCACTCTAAGTTCTCCCCTCTCTTTTGTTGTGTCTCACCATAAGAGTATCTATTTGCATATGTTTGCTCCTAATGCTTGTTCATTATAGCATCAATGATCGAGGCAGTTTAAATCTCTGTGCCACTTCTGCAACCAACCTACTTACTTCTGCAGATTTTTATTTAGGAATTTCACACTGAATTCCAACAAGTCTCATGCAAAGATCTTTTAACTCTGTTTTCTAGATTAAACGGGCAGTTTACAGTTCATGTGGTTCAGTTGCAAGACCAAGTCTGACCTTTGTCTGAAAGTCTTTACAGGCTTGCAAAATGAAGAAAAAATTTTCAACCTTTGCATCATGCTAGTTCATAATCTGTTCTTTCAGGTTGTCTTTAGATGGCTACAACATGACCAATCCTGTTCCAGAGTATTTGACTTTGATTTTCATTTTTTTTTCACTGAACTTGTGTCTGTGTGTAGAGGCTTTCGCAACTCCAGTATTCCAAAATGGACCAGATAAAAATGGATTCAATCTTGGCTTTGTAAAGAATCTTCAGCAAGTGTTTGGAGAGGAAAAAAGGCTGTGGTTACTACCTGTTGCCTCTAGGTAAGCAATAATCAAGTCAGTGCTAAAAGCTGATGCAAAGGGGCTGCCTTCTAACTGACTGTTACAGCCTCACGTGTTCCACCTGCTGTGCTGTGGCTTGGCTGAGGGCTCTTGTGCATCATTATAAATGCACCAACACACATGGTCTGTGTTAATGCTGCTCCCCAGCAGCCTGGAAGGGGAAGTTCCAGAGCTAAATGCTCTGCAGAGTGTTGGAGCTTTCTTCCTGGACCCCATGGCACATGTGTGGAGGGTGTTCACTTCAGAGATGCTGTTTTCTTCATCAGTCAGATTCCTCTGCCTGAAATAGAGTTTATGTTTCTTAATGTAGGGGAAAATGTTGGTTTGGTACTTAGTGAATCATTAGTAAAGTACACTGAGATTTAATTCCTTTAGTAATTGGGCACAATTTAAAATAAATTCCTGGCACAACAATTCACTACTTTTTCAAGTAGCAATGTGAAAGTCTAAGGCCCAGGTGTATCCCCACCACCATCTGTTTTCCACTCCTAGGTATAGTTAAATCTTTATAATCTTATAGTTAAATGGATCTTTGCAGAGTGTATTTATTTATTGTTATATTTATATTGTTATATATTTATATGTAATTATTGTCCATTTTGTGTACAGGTTTGGGTCACAGGAAAGTGGGTCTTCTATTTGGTTTTCAGTAACTTCAAAGATTGAGCCCATTTTCTCTTGGGTATCAATTCAAACACACAAGTGTCCTTTATGCCCTAAACAATCTATGGTATAAATTGGTAAATTTATACCTATGGTACAAATTGTTCCTTCTACATAAATGTTTTCCTTAGTTCCCCCTCACTCCTCACTGCTTAAGTTAATATGTTTCTGGGTTTTTTGTGTTGTGGGTTGTTTTTTTTCTGTATCCACATGACTTAAATCAAATTGGGCACATTTAAGTTCTGCTAAAAATTGCTGGATTCCAGGCTATAGGTTTGACTTTTTATTCTCCAGACTTGGAGGCACTGAGGACCTTGCTAGTAAAACTTCCTATCTGAGCTGCCACAAAAAATAAACACAGCATTTTTCAAACACAAATAATAATTATAAGTAAACACTGGAAATACAGGCAGCAGAGACTCTGTTTGCAGATAAAGCCTGTAGGAACTGTCATCCTTCAGCCACTTGCTGCTTTTCACAGTCTCTTCCTCTGCCTTTCCCCACGCAGCCAGGGCGATGGACATTTCTTCCCACTGAGAGCTTTGTCTGAAGCTCAGAACCCTCTCCTAGCCAATGAAGAGCAGTGGGAAGATGATGGAATAGATGAAGAGCCTCATGGTATGTTAATGCTGAATGAAATTAGTTCTGTCTTGACCCACAGTGTATAATTAATGAGTTATAAGAGCTAATAAATAAATAGTGTTGGCTAAGCTCTGACTGGGCAGCTCTGACTTGACTATTGAACACAAGGGAAGAATGAAGCTCTACTTTGGAGTGAGCTCTTTTTTTTTAAGTATCTTTCTATTTGCAAGTAACTGAGGGGTTGTAACAAGTTGCAGACAGAACTTGAAGCTACCACAAACTAAGTGTATTTACATGTAAAAGTTGCTGCATGCAGAACAGTTCTTGGAGACAAAGTTGTACCTGTAAAAAGGCACAAGAGTTTTTTAAAGTGCATTTATCCTCTGAGAGTTTGGAATGAACTGATACATTTAGGAAGCTACTTTATACTTTTGTTTGTTCAGCTTTATTCCCAAAGGAAAGGAGTTCCTTCAGTTTTGCAGCTTGCCTTGCTGTGTGCTGGTCTCCACAGAAGTGTGTGTGCTGAGAGCAGTTCTAGGCTGCTGGTGAACTGACCCCAACCTTCCCCTCCCTCATGAAACAAGCCCAACCCCTCAGCCTCTCTACATTGGTTTAAAGTAGACCTTTCTGTGCTGTTTATACGTGGCTTAAGTCTGACCTCAGCAGCTTTCAGTTTTTCAAGATTTGGATTGAAACAGTGTGTGTTCATAGAAGAATGATGTTTTCATTTTGCAAGTGAAAATGTTCAGGAATAAACTTAGTACATGTGCATGAAATGTATTAGCTTGCGTTTCTACCAGGGCTGTCCTAACCCAGCCATGTTCAGAGAACATAATTTCCTGCTTTGTTCAGCTTTGGTAGCTTTGTTCCCATCCAACAGAGGGGTTCTAGCAGACTGTCATAGGCACAAATTATGTTTTAGTCTTGTTTTATCACCAGTGCTTTTCTTTTTTGTAAGGCATCAGCAAATGAAGTGCTTATCAGATTCCATCCTGTACAATGGAAGTAAACCAGTATCATTATCTGATGAGAAAGGCCTGAGATGTTCCATTAGGCCTGAAATATCTTTGTCTTTCTGGTTTTAAAGCTCATGACACAGCTATGAAATAGATAAAGCAAATAATCTCAGTTTAAAAATTGCTGTTCAGTTAGCTGTGACAAGTGGTTGTCAATTTTTTTTTAAATGATTCTTCAAATCACACTCCCACACTTGTGAAAAATATATTCTCAGTGAGAAAACCAGATTTGCTTACTTCTAACTACTTTGTTTTTTGTTCTGTAGATTCTGGTGAAGCTTCATCCCTTGCCATAGAAAGGGAGACATAGCAGTTGGAAAGTGCAGCAGTTTAAATCTTGTTCAGAAAGGTCAGTATTTCTTTCTCCATTACCTTCACAGTGGCCTTTCTGCAGGGAAGCTGGTGGGTAACACTGGGCAGATTTTGCCCTTAAGGGTGGCATTTTACCCCATGGTGCCCATGCAAAGGCTGTGGAGTGCAGAGCTGGTTTGGAGGTGGCAGCAGCAGGCCTTGGGAGGGCATGAGCCCAGCTAAAGGTACAGGCCCTCTCACCAGAGCACCCTGTTGGTGCATGGTGGCATTTCACCAGTATTTCTCCATCTGGTCCAGAAATACATTGTTTCAGAGAACCAAAAAGAAAAGAGCAGCTGTGCCCTAGCCCGGGGCTGGATGCTGAGCTGAAAGCAGGGTCTGCAGGGGAGGGTACAAAAAGCCCTGCAGCTCCTCTGTGAAGTCTGGCAGGAACAACTCTTGCCACTAACTTGCACAATTACAAGACTGGAAGTCTGATTCGGTGATTCATGAATGGTGTGGGGAGGTCTTGAAAGAAATTGAAGTTGAGAACAGCAGGTTGCAGTTAGGAATATATGGAAGTAACTTGTAATGCCCACAGTAGCTGTTTTTTCACTCCCTACTCCATAGTAGGGAATGAAAACCCAGCCTCTTCCCTGTCTTTCTGCAGGGCTTTAAAATGATGCTAAGGCCAAGATCAGCTATTGCTTATCAGTTGAACGTTTTTCTTTATTTAAATTTCAGCTTCCCTCTCAGGAGTCAACATTCCTTCTCTTGGTATGGACTTCAGTTTTGAGGGGCAGAAAATAAGTGGATCTTCCAGATGAGAAAACATCATGAAGTATCGTCTGATTGGGACCTGTGTTCTAGAGTGTTTCTCCAGAAATCCTGCTATCCAGATGTTTCAAGGCTTTATAAGTTTAATTTATGGAGTGAACAGAACAGTTTTATAGAGTGATTCTGGCCAATCTTCTTTGGCTTGCTCTGTTTATTTTATAAATAATATATATTTTTTATTCAAAATAAGTAAAAAATACTGACATGAGGGCATTTCCAAAGGCCTTTTCATGTTGCAAACATCAGGGACTCAAGTTCTTTAAACTCTTCCAAGCCATAATATTCTTGGGGATGGTATTTATTTTGAGACTGATTCTCCAACCTTCTCTGACAAGTGGCATTTTCTAACATGTTTAAAGTTCTGTCTGAGTCACTTCAACTCAAGAGAGACAGACCCACTAAAATTTGGCACTAAATTAATAGTTGGATGTGTGATTAAAGTAAAAGTGCTGAATATGCATATATACATGTGCAGCTGTGTATGAAAATAAACCATTCACATTGCCAGTATCAAGATTCAAGAATATTGTGGCCATAGATTTATTTTTTTTAATATTTTTTGTAGGAGGGTGTAATTGTCTTAGAGTTTGAGTTATAGTGCCCTTTAAGCCAAATCCTACTTGCAGACACTTAAAATGCAAAAGGGAACTTCAGATAATACAGTTTGCATTCATTCCTAGGGCTAAATGACAGAGTTTGCCTGGTAATTAGAGTATTAACAACTCATTCCTGGATCAGTGTTTGATGGGAATTTGTGTTTAGAGTCAGAAAGATGTAAATTCGAAACACATGAGTTGGACATGCCCTGAAAGTTGAGATCCAGGAGTAGTGTTATACACTCCACAAGGGTGGTTTTAGTCCCATGATGCTGAAGAGACAACTGATGCACTGAATTTTTTTAAACTTTTTCCTAAGTAAATGTATTGACTGGTGGTTTAAAGGTTTTTCAGCACTGATTGTATTTCTTCTTCCTTTTGCTCCATTTGCAGTCAGAGGAATGTGAATGTATCACTGTTGTTACTCTCTGCAGTGGAACTGAGAATTTGCTGGCAGGATTAAGTGCATTTTGTTAGACCTGAGTCTTTTTTTTTTTTATCTGCATGATTCAGACCTGGCTCCTCCCTCCCTCATGTTTGATTTAGGTGCATGCTTGAAGTATTAGTATTCTGCCTTTAAAATAATTTAACATTTTCTAACTGTTTTTGTGATTATCAGCCCTTTTGCATTGACAGTGACTACAGAAGCAATTGTGCTCATCATGAGAAGTTATCTGACAAGTACCTGTTTGGTGACAGAGGCCTTGCCTCCATAGTCAGTCCTTTGTTCTTCTGTTTACTTTGCTGCTGCTACCAGTGGAAAGGGTAGGTGTTTACCTGGTGTAAACCATGTCCTGTGGACAGACATTCTATCCCTCACCCTCTGTAGCTGGGTGCAGAGCAGGCAGCAGCCTCTGTTCTGTGTCCTACTGCTGAAGTGTAGTTGTTAGGGGTCAGGGTGGGCTCTCCCAGGATTCCTGTGGGTCACTTTCCTCAGAGCTGTTCCTGCTTCAGCCAGGTCTGCTGGGTGGTTCTGTAATCTGTTGAGTGCTGGAAGTGTTTCCTGTCAATCTGAACCTGTGTTTCTAATGCAGATCCATTGCTGGACCTTAAGCTGTGTTTGAGGGATGATGGCAGTAGAATGAATTGCCTCGTTTCTGGCAAAATGTGTTCTGGAGGGGGATCTTGAGAGGAGGTTGGCAGATAAGCACAACAGGAAGTGGACAGGCATTTAGCACCAACAGAGGGTCTGTTTGTGCCTTTTACAACTCTAAATTCCTTCTATCTAAAACTAGGAGGATGATTTGGTGACAGTCTGTCAAGTGAGGTGTATGTTTAAGCTAGGGGTATCAGAGCTGTGTCTGAAGCCATGTGGATGTACAGGAGTTTTCTGAGCAGGTTCCTGTGTCCTTTCTGGATTTGGTTCTGTTCACAGCCATGTCATTCTCTTAGTGCAGTTTCTCTGCTAAGCAGCAACAGCAGAGCTTCCCACAAGATCAGCAGGCAGCACCCAGCCCTGCCTGCTGGCCAGCTGCAGCACTGCTGCACGCATGTCTTCATGAGAATGCAGCTCCCCAGCTCAAGTTCAGAAACAGCTTTGAAGGTTTCAAGTAAATTTCTCTTATTCAGTAACATTTTTGTAATTAATTATGTCCAGTTTTCCCCTTTCCTTTAGAAGCAGCTCAGCCTCACTTGGTTTTAACAAACTCAGTTCAGGTAGACACAAGGAATAGTTTGATAGCTTCAGAACTGCTTCAAATCAGTATCAACATACCAGATTCTTGAAAGCTTCAGAGTGGAACAAATACAAATGTTGTGTCGAAATAAGGCAGAACAAAATGTGGAAAAACGTGTTGCAGCTGGGATCTGTCCTGTGCCTGCTGCATTCCAGCGCCATGGAATAGTGGGGCAGGATTAAAGCAGAGTGCAGAAAGCTGCAGGGAGAGGTGGGGGCCCAGGATCACAGCATCAGTCTGGAGTCTGCTGCAGACAGGAGGTGTCTGTGCTCGTCAAGGCAGCACGTGCATGAGCAGGCAGATTCCTGGGGGGAAACTCAGTGTTTCTCAAAATCCTGCTGCTAAGCTCTGGCTGCAAGAGAATGCAGTTTTTCCACTTAGTATTTTTTGCTATCTTCTGTGGCCATGGGGCTGCTCTACAGAATGCCAGGTACTGTCAGTGTTACAGTGGTGGGGCAGTGGAAGCTGAGGTAGGACCACCAGGTGCTGTCAGTCATTCTACCCGCAGTCACCAGCTAGTAATGCATGTGGCCTGGGTGAGACCAGCGCTGTGGGGCTCGGAGACTCCCCAGGAGTGTCTTCCAGAGCTGAACACAAGCTCAGGTTTGTTAGTGCACATCAGGGTACAGAAGTGTGAGTTCAGCCCCAGCACAGCTTGTTCTCCCCTGCCTTTGGTCTGTTTGTGTTTCAGGATTTTACAAATGCGTTTCATGTCCTTCGTGTGAGTGAGGAGTTTCTCTGCTGTAAGCAGCTTTTCCAAGGGGATGTCAGTGTGTGAAAGAACAAACTCTTGCTGGATTTTCCTGTGACACCTGCCAGGCTCCAAAATAACTGACCACTAACAACCCCCTCCTCACCTCTCCCATTTACATTCAGGTACACTGTACTCTAAACAAAAACAAGAAAAAAGAGAGAAAACATCATATTGATGTTTCTATGGACTTGGGGCAAGTTGTCTCCTTGGCCAGTGAGTCCTGTCCGAGGAATCAGGACTTCAGGAAGCCTCCCTGCACTGGAATTTTGTTTTGTCTCATGCTGAATTGGTACAGTATGTTTCTGGGGTAGAGCAGGATTGCATTCCTTTCAAGAGGAAGCAGTGCTGTGTGTGTTAGCAGGCTGTGCCTGGTGCCTGTGGGGTTCAGTCTGGCACAGAGCAGGCAGCCTCCTCACAGCATTCCAGCAACCAGTGTTTACTTCCTGGAACAAACCAGAAATGTGATTCCACAGAATCTCTCCTAGTTGTAGATGTTTAGTTCGTGTGCTGGTGCGGACTGAAAGCACAAATTAGTGTTAGTTACCAAACCTGATGCATAAAGTCTGTAAGATAATATGAATGTAAAGTCTCAGGGGAAAAAAAATAAATTAAAAAAATAATAATTTCCCTGTTCTTCCCTGAGGTCAGATACAAAGAGCAACGTGTGAGATGTATCCAGGGACCTGCTGCCTCCCATGTGCTCATGGCAGCAGAACCATTTACTGTTTGCAGAGCTGGCTTGGTCACCAAGGTGTTGAATTAACAGGCTGAGGAGGTACTTTTGACCTTGTTTATTAAGCCAGAATTAATTAACTCAAAGAGTCATGTTTTCATTCTAGTGACTCCTGTGGTACAAATTTTTGAAACTGATCCATGGTACTTGAAAATACCTTGATTTTATTGGTATTTTTCCAATTCTGTCAGCTTCTGTTTTGTTACAGAACAATTGCAAAACCAAACTTGTTCTGAAACCATCAGTTAAAGCACTTGTGTGGCAGAGCAGCTTTTTCTCTATTTCCTTCTCTGGTGATTAACATTGAGAGCAAACCCACTGCTGGGCAGTTGTTTTATTCTTATCCTTTTTCTGTCTCACTTTGAGAGTCTTTCCCTCTTGAATATATACTTTAAATATCATTAGCTTCCAGCTGCTTGTGCTGATTTTTTGGATACTGTGAAGGTGAGTAGGTGTCATTTTAAGCAGTTGTGCCATGTATTTTATTTGTAACTAATCTTTATATTTATCAGGTATCAGTTTGTGATTCTCCTCATTCCAGCTCAGCTTGCTTTGCTCAGCACAGGGGGATCCAACTTCCTGCATCGCTTTTCTCTTTCCTGAAAGTCATATTTCTTCATCTTCTAGCTTCTATTTGGAATGTAAACCTTGTGAAATAAATAATCAGTTTACATTTCAGGTGTCAGCCTGTAAGTTGGTTCTGCTTTCATGCTGCTTAAATACATGTTTTTCTGTATGAGGTTTGAAGATTTACAGCAGCATTTCTAAAACTTCAGTGGAAAATTGCCACTGGTAAGAAACAAAAAGGAAAAAAAGAAAGATACAAAGTTGTGTTAAGATTAAAAACAACTAAGCAAAAAACCCACTAAAAATGGGATGTTTGCTTTTAATGCCAATCATGCTTAAAAATAAATGCCTGCTTGCATCAAGTGCTGGTATCAAACAGCTTGTAAAACACACAGGTATTTTAGCTGTTTTTCCTGCTGTTTCAGTACTTACTAGACTTGAACTTCTTGAGCTAAACCTTGGGTTGAATCCATGGAAAGCCTGGAAAGAAAAACATTGTCCTCCCTACCTCCTTTAGAAACTGAGCAAAGTGTGTGCTGCACCTGCTCAGATCCGCACTTCCCTTTGTAAGATAAATTAAAATCCAGTGGATTCTTGAAAGTGTTGGTGTATTTTATTTTTTTTTCCTGCCTTTTTCTGGAGGATCCAGGACCCTCGCAGATGCGTAAGAGAGAGAAGTCCCTCATATCAGCATCTGGTGTCCTGATGACATCAGGAGCTGCCCAGGCTGGTGCAGACGTGGCCTCCTGAGGCAGAGGAGGTTTGGTTTTATGACTAAGAGCTTATGTGAGGAGGGAGGTGGAACCTTTTGTGCTGCTCTGAATAAACTCCAGGTGTGGGCATTCTTCTTCTGTAGCAAGTTACCTTAACGTGTAGCTTCTTGCTCACAGTCTAAGGTCTTCCATAATAATTCCAAATTGCTTTGTTGGAGCAGGGAATTTCTAACAGCATCCCTTTTGCTAGTGCCACGTAAAATACAAAAGATCGTGTTGCTTTATAAATAATTCTCTCTCCAGCTGTTTTTCACCTGAAAGTGAGACTCATTTATGTTGGTTGTGAAAGTGGGTCCCTCAGAGATAAAAATTACCTCAGGATCAGAGAACTGCAGCCCTAGCTGTATGTCAGCATTCAGCATGAGGAGTTTTTTACCTCGTTTCAAAGTCCAGTGTCTGGTTTCACTCCCGGGTGCTTTGAAAGGGCAGGAAAGCTCGGGTGGGGCAGCACAGGCACTACCTCTGCCCCGGGTTAGTGCTGCCAACAGCCACAGCCCAACACCCTGCTCCTCCTGAGGAAGGGCAGCTGGGACAGCACTGGGAAAGGTGACAGAAACGTCCCTGTACTTAGGACATTCAGCTCTTACGACCCAGCGTGGCCTGGGGATGGTGCTGAGCACCATCTCACCTACCGTGAACTCTGTTCTGCTCAGCCAAGGACCTGCCACTCACAGCTCTGCTGAATAAGGCTGGTTTCTCACCCCTTCATTTAATAGGAAGAACATGTTTTTCCAGGGAATGTCGCAAAGGTTCTGTTGCCATTTGGGATGTTCAGTTGAGCTCCATTTAATGCTGCTGCTGGCGTTGAGACTTTTGATACCAAATGGGTTTTTATGGAAGCTTTGGATACTGGTTTTTACTGTACAACAACTGTTCTGACTGGACTGGGAATGCTCAGTGTGCCCCCCCCCAGGTGTTTGTATGGTTTCTACAGCAGAATGTCCTGTACCTTCTGTGTTGTCATTTTCTATTATGGTTTATACTAGAGCCTGCACGGCTCACACTGTACTGCAGGCAAGGACTGCATTAAAAAACTTTTTTGGCTAATTTATTATAGTTGTGAATGGTTATTTCCTATGACCTAGCCTATGCTCTCAGGAAAACATTCTCTCTCTGGAAGCCTTACACAACTTAATTAATTGAAATAAATAAATCACTAAATGTTGTCTCTTGTCTTACAAGTTATTGGCTGGGGGGGGCCCC